GCTGAGAGCTGGACAATGAATAAAGATGACAGAAAAAAAAATTATGCCTTTGAGCTGTAGTGTTGGAGAAGAGCACTGAATATCCCATTGACAGCCAAGAGAACAAACAGACATGTCTTTGAGAGGGTGCAGCCCTCTTACTTCTTTGGAGGTAAGAATGATGAAGCTTTGCCTCACACACTTTGGACATGTTGCTAGAAGGGGCTATTCCTTGGAGAAGGACATGATGCTGGGAAGGGTGAAGGATCGGCAAAGGAGAGGAAGACCCTCAACCAGGTGGATTGACATGGCAACTGTTGCAATGCTGCAATGGATTTTGTGTGTCTGGAAGTGTGAGGATTGTTGCGGCTATACCTTTATAAATTCCTGGAGAAAATGATTAAAGACAAGACACACAAATGAGCACGCACACACACACATAAAGCAGAAAAGACTGCAGCTGCCCTGAGCTGCACTGCTTTATTTTTATAGAGTGCTGAGGTATGACCTTTTTAAAGGACACATTCATTCCAAGTTTATGAGAAACACGTTTTTCATAGAGTGTCCTTCTAGCCGCCACCTGGTACGAGATTGTTGTTGTTGTTGTCGTGTGCCGTGGAGTCGCTTGCGACTCATAGCAACCTTATGTACAACAGCCCTAAACCCTGCTCTATCCTGTGCCAATCTCACTGCCTCCGACACACCCACCCCAATTACCCCAGTCACTGAATCAATCCACCTCATAGAGGCTCTTCCCCTTCTGCGCCGTCCCTTCACCCTCCCAGGCATGATGTCCCTCTCCAAGGACCTCTCCCTCCTTACAACATGTCCAAAGTATGTCAGACGAAGCCTCAGAATCCTTGCCTCCAAGGAGCAGACTGGTTTAACCCTCTTCAGGATGAATCTGTTTTTTTGGCAGTCCAGGGTACATTCAATACTATTCTCCAGCACCACAGCTCAAAGGCATCAATTCTCCTTCTATCCTCCTTAGTCATTGTCCAACTCTCTGATGCATAACAAGTGATTGCAAAGACCATAGCTTGTATCAGATGCACCTTAGTCTCCAGAGTGACACCATTGCTCTTCAGTACCCTGGAGAGGTCCCTAGCAGCAGACTTTCCCACTGCAATACTTTTTTTATTTCCTGGCTCCTGGTGCCAAGAGTATTGACTGTGGAGCCAAGCAGACTAAAGTTTTAACAATCTCAATCTCTTCACCATCCATCCTGATGCTGCCATTGGTCCAGTGGTGAGAATCTTTGTCTTTTTGACATTGAGCCTCAATTCATACTGAAGGCTGCAGTCCTTGACCCTCTGCAGCAAGCATTTCAGGTCCTCCTCAGTTTCAGCAAGCACGGTTGTGTCATCTGCGTAACGCAGGTTGTTAATAGATCTTATACCAATCCTGACGCCACACTTCCCCTTATAGAGCCCAGCCTCTCGGATAATCTGTTCTGCATACGGGTTGAAAAGGTATGGAGATAGGACACATCCTTGGTGTATGCCTTTCCCAATTTTGAACCATGCAGTGTTTCCTTGCTCTGTTCTGACGACTGCCTCTTGGTCCAAATATAGGTTTCGCATAGGAACCGTTAAAAACAGAAGCTGTATCAACTACGGAGGAGTTCATGCCCTGGGTTTGTGTGCAGAGCCATAGGATTCCCAGACTGTTTGCAGATAACAAGGAAATGCTCTCTTCCCACACTCATCTGTGTGCAGATTAGTGCTAAGAAGACATCTATCTGTGTACAGAAATCTTCAAATGTTAACTCTCCCGGTTCCATCATCTCTGTATGCAGAATGTCTTCAAGGATTAACTCTTAGGTTTCCATCAGAGGATGGCACAGGATAGAACAGGGTTCAGATCTTTTGTTCATAGGGTCGCTAAGAGTCGTAATTGATTCAATGACACCTAACAACCACCACCACCACCACCACCACATTCTTCAATATGGCAACCTGAACATTGAATTTGCTTTATTGTTCATTAAGAGCAGAGTATTCAGCATACTAAATGCTGAGTGAGTTCTTACCTATGATCAAAACCAGGTAAGTTAAGGAATGACCAACAACATCATGAAGAAAGGATGTGGTTATTACAAAGACAGGGGGAAAAGAAAAGATCAAAATTGGTTCAGAAGAGATGCTGACATTTTTACTAGAATGCCAAGAAGCAAAAACAAAGGGAGAGAAATGCTGCAGAAGAGAGGAACAGAAAATTCCAAAGGGCAGCTTGAGAAGACAAGGCAAAGTATTTTAACAGAATGTGCAAAGAGCTGGAGAGAAAAACAAAATGACTTAAACATGGGATTGAGATTGTTCAAAGCTTCAGTTTGCTCGGCTCCACAGTCAACACTCTTGGCACCAGCAGCCAGGAAATAAAAAAATGTATTGCGATGGGAAAGTCTGCTGTTAGGGACCTCTCTAAAGTACTCAAGAGCAATGGTGTCTCTTTGGCGACAAAGGTGCGCCTGATACAGGCCATGGTCTTTGCAATCACTTGTTATGCATCAGAGAGCTGGACAATGACTAGGGAGGACAGAAGGAGAATTGACGCCTTTGAGCTGTGGTGCTGGAGAAGAGTATTGAATATACCATGGACTGCCAAGAAAACAAACAGATTCATCCTACAGAGGGTTAAACCAGGCTACTCCTTGGAGCCAAAGATTCTGGGGCTTCGTCTGACATACTTTGGACATGTTGCAAGGAGAGACAGGTCTTTGGAGAGGGACATCATGCTGGGTAGAGTAGAGGGACAGCGCAGGAGGGTAAGACCCTCTATGAGGTGGATTGATTCAGTGACTGGGGTAATCAGGATGGGTGTGTTAGAGGCAATGCGATTGGCACAGGACAGAGCAGGGTTTAGGGCTGTTGTGCATATGGTTGCTATGAGTCGCAAACGACTCGATGGCACATAACAACAACAACAAACATGGAGGATAAAGAGGCAAAAACCCCCAAGTCTAATTAAAATTTCTTTGGCTGGTAAGTGAAAAGTTGGAGGTTTGAGTCTATTCAGGTGCATTGGAAGAAAGGCCTGGCAATTTATTTCTAAAAAACCAGCCACTGTAAACCCAACAGCTAGTTCTGCACTGATACATACGGGGTTTTGTCATGATTTGGAATTGACTATTCCCAACACATAGAAGCCTCGGTGGTACTGTAGTCAAAACACTTGCAGTTGGAGGTTTGAATTTATCCAGTGTTCCACAGAAGAAATATGTGGGAATCTTTGTTCATAAAGTCCTCAGAATCCGATAGGGTACAAGTTCTACTCTTTTAAGATCACTATGAGTCAGACATGACTCAAGGGTAACAGGTTTGGTTTGCTTATTTTTAATTTCATGGTTGCCTAATTTAAAATGTTAAGGTGAAGACTACTGCAGCAAGTTTAGGAGATAATTATCAACCATTTTACATAGGAGTGCTTTAAAGATGATTTAAAATGAATAAAGCTCCAGCTACTTCACCTAATAAAAAGGACTCTGGATGTGTCATAAAATATAATTTAGTATTTGAAAATCTTTAAATGCTTGCTATGTACAAAGTCCACCACTTCCCTGATCGTTTGTCCTACTGTGGAGGCTTGTTGTATGACAATAGAAGCTATGTCATCAGTATTTCAAACACTAGCATGGCGATACATGGTGGACAGGCTTTAGTGCTGCTTTTAGACTAGAAAGAAAGACTACTTCCTTCTGAACAAATTTGGCCATTGACAGTTTTATGAATAACAGTGGGTCACTAACTGATAAGGTGCTAGAAGATGAGCTCTTGAGCTTGGATAGCACTCAAAATGTGATTACAGAAGAGCTACGTGTTCCAAGTAAAGTAAGTCTGATAATATGCAAAATTTTCAGGACCATCCTTTCTGGATTTAATATGCCGCTGCAAGCCATCTGACCATCAGAATGCAGTATAAAGTATAAATCTAGGGAAATTAGAAGTCATGAGCTAAAATTGATGGATATTGACCAAGTGGGCTATTATGCTGGAAATGACAGATTGAAAAGGAATGGCATCACATTCATGGTTAAGACTATTTCAAGATCTATCCTGAAAGACAATCTTGTCAGTGACAGGCTAATATCGGTAGTATGACCATTATTCAAATTTATGCACCACATATTAATGTCAAAGAAGATATTGGAGACTTTGAAACATTTAGTTTAAGATAAATTTAGCCGACAAAATGCATTGGTAATTACTGGTGACTGGAATATAAAAGGTGGAAACAAAGAAATCTATAGTTAGAAAGCTTGGCCTTGTTTTAGGTAATCAATAGTTCTTTGCTTTGGAGTCGGAAACCACTCATAGCTGATCCTCCAGAGATTTTTCTGAGCCTGTAAAACACATGAGAAGAGATTGCCCATTCATTGCCAGGAGAGCAGTGGGTGGATTTAAACCGCCCACCCTATGGGTGTCCAGTGCTATTTCCTACCCATCAGAAAAACAAAAGGCAGAATCGGGGTTGAGATAAGCTGCAGCAGAACTGAGCTGGATGCCACGCAAAGCTCCAGCGTTGCGGACGACGTGACTCTTCATAGCTGGGCTTTCCTGCGGTATAGATACCCTCCGGTGCCAGTGACTACGTGCTCACCTCACCGTAGCTCTGCTCAGCAGCCAAGCACAGGAACCCACAGCGCCCCGGCGCGGTGAGGAGCCTCGCCCACGGTAGCTTGGTAACCACATCTGTCACTCCTACTGGCAGAAAGGCGCGCACCGCCCACCACTTCCTGCCTCGCTGGTCTAGGGCGGTGTGCACGCGACACGCGGTTTGGACGTGCGGCGTGGCGCACCGCTGCCGCTTCTCGGCGGGAACAACACGCGAGGGCGGCCTAGCTGCTCCGGCGACCTCTCTGCCCTCCGAGCGCCCTCAGCCCGCGCTGTGAGGTTCCCCCTCGCGCCGCGAGTTTTATTATTATCATTATTTAAACGCACAATTCCTCCTATTAGGCCGCTTTTTTTTTTTTTTTTAAAGGAGGGACTAGAGAAGTTGGGGGAATCCTATTCCTAGTGAAGATGGAGGAAAGCTCCCAGGCCTTAGACTGGGACAGCGATGAAACCGTGATAGAGGGGTCGGTGTCGGAGAGCGACCTGGAAGAAGGAGAGCTGCCCTGGAGAAGGTGACGGCCATTAAGACTAGAATGTGGAAAAAAAAACAAAAAAAACCCCTAGAACGTGTACGACCTCGTGCACCTCGCCTGGGCACTGGCGGGCATTACCTGTTCGAGGTCGGTAGAAGTTGGTGCCAGTAGGTCATATGATTGCAGGCAGAGAGAACCCAAGCGGCGCCGTCGAGCCTAAATCGTGCGGTCCAGTCGGAAGTGACCCCATAGCTCACCCTCCAGCGGGTTTTTAGAGACAGGAAATCGCTGGAGATATGGCCCATCTTGGAGGAGCTGGTGGATTTGAACCCTTTTGGTTGACCTTGCAACTCCTTGTTACTGAGATCCCTAAGTTAAGGACTTGTAAATAAATAAACAAGAAATTATTCTCCCAGCTCTGATTTAAGACATACAGTAGTCATAAATGGCTTCTTTGCAGTTTTCCTCCTGGGCTAGGGCACCCCCAAATGTTGAAACTCACCAATTGCAGATTGTTTGGATTTTTACTTCAGCCTCCAGTTAGTTCACCTGCCATTGTTTTATTTTCAGAGTTCAATATTCCTTTCATATTATTCAATATTCCTTTAAAAATATAAATTTCCTTTAATATTCTGCCAAGAATTTTTAATCATAATAAGTATAGAAATAGGGACTAACTCAATCTTGACTGATCAGTTGGCTTCCCCTCGCCCAATTTGGATTCATTTTTGAGTATTCTTTTATGTTGTTGTTATTGTTTAATGCCGTTGAGTTGTAGACGACTCATAGTGACCCTATGAAGGAACAGCCTGAGCACTGTTCGTACATAGTTTCCAGAGGCAAGCCATTTTGGAAGTGCTGTGGAAAGACCATCCTTTTATACGTTATAAAACTCCTGATTTTGCATTGATTCTGACTCCTAGTGAACTTCCATTGTGTCTCTAAGACTAAATCTTGACAGGAGGAGACTGCCCGTCTTTTTCTCACAAAGCATTTGGTAATGAACTACTGACTTGTCTCATTTGTATAATGCAATATGTTACCAGGGCTCCCTTCATACCTTACAGCCCAAGATTTAAAAAAAATACCCTTTCTTCTTTATATTGGCACAGAGATTCATTGAGAATCTAAGCAGAGCGGGGACTGAATGTCAGAGCTTTGTTTGTGTGGTTTTTTTTAATCTTTGCCTAATTGAATGCAGTTCATAAATGGCTATTTTTCCTTGTACAAATACTTTGGAATGAGAAGCACAGGTTCTAGTAAAGATCCTTTAGGCTCATTATAAGATTTTGCATAGTTAAGTAATTCTTAAAGTGTGTTGTAGCTACTGTGGTCTTTTTGTTAAGAACTAAGAAAGGCTAAGGTATATAGTTTGAATCCACAAGCTGCTCCACAGGAGAAAGATGGACAGTCCCGTTTTGTGTGGTTTACTGCCTCTGAAAACCTGGAGGGTCAGTTATGGGTTCTAATTCTGTGGTATACAACTACAGCATGAAAACCTTTCATGACCAAATGTTTTGTGCTGTCAAGTTAGAACCAATCTGTAGCTGGTTCTCCTGTGGATTTTCAGAGGAAGTAAATCACACTGGAGGAGATTGCCCATCTTCCTGTGGAGCATCTGATGGACTTAGACCATGTGTCTTTAGGATTGCAGCATGTCTTGCCATTAGGCCACCAGACCAAAGAATTAAGGTCTTTGAATTGTTGTGTTGACATAGAAAAATCCACCATAGAATCCAAAAAGAACAAACAAATCTGTCTTAAATATAGCTAGAGAGCTTTCTAGAAGCAAGGGTAATGAGCCTTTTTCTCACTTGGGCATGTTATCTGGAGGAGCACAGTTTTATTTTTTTTACAGAGGGTTAGTTACTATGAGCTATCCCAATTTGATAGCACTTAACAATAACAATATCTGAAGCAACATCCTAGCATTTTTTTTTCATCCTAGCATTTTTGCAGTATCTTTTTCATCAAAAGGATCACTGGATACAACCCACACTCAAAGGGTGGGGTTACACAGGGCAGTCATACTCAAAGTCATCATTTTAGAGATTGCCTACAGGACTGCACATCTTTTAGTATTGTAGAATTACTGACTTTTAAAAGGTATAATAGTAATGGCTATTTTTTAAAAAGCATAATTATTATGGTTTATTGGAAAGAAGTAATTAATTATCTTTTGTTGTTATTTTGTGCCGTCAAGTCACCTGGGACTCATAACAGCCCTATGTACAACAGCCCTAAATCCTGCTTTATCCTGTGAAAATCTTACTGTCTCCAACACACCTACCCCCATTACGTCAGTCACTGAATCAATCCATTTCATCGAGGGTCTTTGTCTCTTTCTCTGTGCCTCCAACCTCCCAAGCATGATGTCCTTCTGCAAGAACTAGTTCCTTCTTGCAACATGCCCGGAGTATGTCAGATGAAGCTTCAGAATCCTTGCCTCCAAGGAGTAGCCTGGTCTCACCCTCTCTAGGAAGAACCTGTTTATTCTCCTTGCTGTGCATGGTATATTCATTACTCTTCTCCAGCATCACAGCTCAAAGGCATCAATTCTTCTATCATCCCTAGTTATTGTCCAGCTTTCTGATACATAACAAGTAATTGCAAAGACTGTGGCGTGGATCAGGAGCACTTTAGTTTCCAGACTAACATCTTTGCTCTTTAGTACTTTGGAGAGGTCTCTGACAACAGACTTTCCCAATGCAATTTGTCTTTTAATATCCTGGCTCCTGGTACCAAGAGTGTTGATTGTGAAGCCAAGGAATCTAAAGCTGTCAATAATCTCAATACCTTCACCATCTTTCATGGTGCTGCGAATCAGCTCAGTGGTGAGAATCTTGATGTTGTGCTTCAATCCATGTTGAAGGCTGCAATCCTTAACCTGCGGCAAGCACTTCAGGTCCTCCTCAGTTTCAGCAAGCAGGGTTGTGTCATCTGCACAACACAGATTTTTGATGAGTCTTCCTCCAATCCTAATGCCACATTTCTCCTAGAGCCCAGCCTCCCAGATAGTCTGTTCTGCATATAGATTGAAAAGGTATGGAGATAGGACACATTCCTGGAGTACGCCCTTCCCAATTTTGAACTGTACAGTGTGTCCTTGCTCTGTTCTGACGACTGCTTCCTGGCCCAAGTATAGGTTTAGCATAAGCATGATCAAGTGTTCTGGATTCACGTTGTTCTCAGAGTCAGCCACAGTTTCTTGTGATCTACACAGTCAAATGCTTTTGCATAGTCAATGAAACAGAGATAGACATTCTGCGTTACTCATTGGTACTCTCTGCTTTTAGCCAAGATCCATCTAACATTAGCTGTAATATCCCTAGTACCACAACCTCTTCTAAACTCAGCCTAAACTTCTGGCAGTTCTCTGTTGGTGTACTTTTCCAGTTGTTTTTGCATCATTTTCAGCAGAATCTTGCTTGCATGTGATATTAATGATAAGGTATCAAAAATAATTCAAGAAGGGAACTCTGGTGGCCTAGTGTCAAGAAGCTGTGCAGCAATCCTGAAGGTGCATGCTTAGAATCTACCAGATGCTCTGCTGGAGAAGGAGGGCCAATCCCTTCCTGTGCCTGTCAGATCTGATTCAACGGTACATAACAAGAAGAAAAAAATCCAAAGGAGGTCAGGAAGGGATGATTATAGAGGAAACAAGACTTACTATGAATAGATAATTGTTGATCCTAGATATAGATACACTATTTTCGGTTTCTCTCTTTCTCGCTAACTTCATTTGAAATTATCATGGTATTTGAAATTTTCCATTAGCAATAAAAGAAACCATCTCCCCACAAATAAATAGAGAATCTCAATACCAGATCATATAAACATGCCTTAGAACAGATTATTCCCCTTTGCGTGATGAGTAACTTCTTAGGTAGAAAAGATGATATTTAAGCCTACCAAGTACTTACCATGCTGTATCATTGCTATTTCTTAGTTTTGTATCCCTCACTAGATTCGAAGGTTCTTTATGATAAGATTGTATCATCTTTCTCCTTATTGATTTGGTGCTTCCATGCTTAGAAGTATACCTGAAAATGAAAGGAATTCTATTATTGTATGCTATGTACATTCAGAGTTAACCCTAGGATTTAATGTGATTGTCTCTTTGGCACAGAGGAATCAAAAGAGAGAGAGAGAAAAAGAAGGTCCATCAGCACTAGTTCCTGATGTGATTCTCTGTTTAAAAAAAGTGTTGTTATTTGTTCCTTATCCTCAAAATTCCAAAAATAATAACAATATTTGTAAAAGTGAACATGTCATATGGCTGTATCTTTATATTTTATCCTTGGTAAATTTTTAATTAAAGTGTACATTTCTCTCAGTCACTCTGAGTAATATAGGCAGTATCCTTTCATAAAGACTTGCAGCCTGGTAAGCCTGATCTCTATCCTATAAATCAGAATCAACTCCACAGTAGTTGGGACAACTATATGTATCTCTCTGTCCAGAGCAAAGATGAAGGAAGAAAAAAAGGCAAAGATGCTTAGAAATAATTAGTTGTAAAGACCTCAGCCTCCATGACTTTGTAGTGAGAAGGACTAAACATCCCCTAGGGAACTCTGGTGGCTTCTTATTAAATGCCGTTGAGTCAAGTACATATAGTTCATAAAAACCCTATGAGTGACTGAGCTGAACTGTCCTATCCCATGCCATCCTCATAATCTCTGACTCACTGAAGGCTATTGTTGCGGTCACCATGTCTCCTTCACCACCCTACCACCTTCCCAAGCATAATGTCTTTCTCCAAGGAATAGCAACTTCTAGCAACATGTCCAAAGTTTATGAGATGAAGCTCTATCATCTTTGTCTCCAAAGGTCACTCTGGCTGTACTTTATTCAAGACATTTCTGTTAGTTTGTTTGGCAGTCCATAGGATCTTCACTACTCTTCTCCAAAACCACAGTTCAAAGGCATCACTTCTGTCATCTTTATTATTGTCCAGCTCTCAGTAAGTGACTGACAAGACCATGGTTTGAATCAGGTACACCTTAGTCCTCAAGCTTATATCATTACTCCTCAATTATTTGGAGGGATTAGTGACTACAGACTTTCTTAGTTCAATATGTCTCCTAATCTCCTTACTTGTGGTACTGAGTATATTGCTTGTGGATCCAAGGCAAATGAAGTTGACAGTCTCAATTCTTTCTCCATCATCATTATGTTGCCTTTGGGTCCAGTGGTGAAGAATTTTGTTTTCTTAATGTTGAAATGCAACCCATATTGAAGGCTGCAGTGTTTAACTTGCTGTAATAGCAAATGCTTCAAGCCGTAACTTACACCAAGCAATTTTGTGCCATCTACATAATGAAGGTTATTGATGAGTCTTCCTCCAATCTTTTTATTTTATTTTATTAATTTTAATGAACAGAGATCTTGGATTTTCATTCATTCATTGTTGCACTTTTTTCTTTATCCCCCACCCCCAGTTCGCTCCTCTCTTTGAAAAGCAAAAGATAAACCTCTTCGTTGGTATACAGTGCCCCCAACCCCGACCCTGCCCCCTCCTCTGCCCCAAATGCACTCCACTATGCAACCTTAATTCTGGATTCCTATAATAATCGTAATATGCTATCATATACCACTTTTCAACTGTTCTCTCCCTCATCTGTTTCAATTCAGTATATATAATCTATCCAGTTTTTCTCAGTCTTATCTCAACCCTGGTGTCAGTCACTTTCTACAACAGTGGCACTATGCAGTATTTGTCCTTTTGTGACTGAGATATCTTCCTCCAATCTTGATGCCACATTTTTCTTCATAGAGTCCAGCTTTTTTAATAATTTGCTTAGAATATAGATTAAATTGGTATTGAGAAAGGATACAACCCTGATGCATGCCTTTAATAATTATAAACTATGCAGTGTTCCCTTGCTTCGTTCACACACAGCTGTGGCATCAGAGATATCATTGCTAATATCAGTTGGATCTTGGCTGAAAGCAAAGAATGCCAGAAGAATGTCTGTTTTTGTTATTGACTATGCAAAGTCATGTGAGTATGTGGATCCTAAGAAATTCTGGCTGACATTGTAAAGAATGAAAATTCCTAAACACTTGATTGTGCTCACATGAAACAAGGTATTGTTCCCTTGCTTTGTATGAACAAGAACTTCTTTGTCTAGTTATAGGTTTCACAGCTTTTTCTTTGGTGTTTTTTTTTTTAATTTTAGAGGAAGCCACCTTTCTTTGTCCTGAGGAGCTGCTGGTGTATATGCATCCTTTGGTTTCACAGTGGAATGTGCTATGGACTATGCTATCAGAGCTCTCAAAGCTAAACAGTAGATGAGCCTGTCAACAAAACAATAACTTCAGAAAGACACTTCTTAATGCTTAGAATAATTCAGCCAAGATCAAAAGGGTAGATTTGCCGGCGATAAAGCTCTGGTGGCCAAGTGCTGAGTTGTCCTGCAGTTTTAATGGCATGTGGTTCAAATCTACCAACTGCTCAATGGTAAAAGGATGGGCAGTCCCCTCCTGTGTGATTTACTGCCTCTGAAAATCCACTGGAATGTCAGCTATGGAGGGTGCATGACAACAACAAACCTCAGAAAGCAGAAAATGGTAGGATAGAAGGATTAATGGAAACAAGAATGGCAGGGAGGGATCTAAAAGAGTGTGATTACATTGTGGTTCTTGTATTCCACATTATAAAACAAAATGTGTATGAGTTGTTGAGTGGAAAACCAATTTGCTCTGTAAACATTCACGCCAATCACAATAAAAAGTAAGAAAAAAATTAAAGAAATACAAAGTTTACTTTTTTGAAAAATATTTTTATTATTAACGTAATGAAGCATTTGAGCAAGTTTAAGTGTAAAATATAAACTATTAAAGTGGTAGCCTTTAAAAAAATAAAAATAACAATCTGCGCTTCCCCCACTTTTCTTTTAATATTTGAAAGGTTTCTCTTTGATCAAGATGTATCTCTGAGATCTGAGTCTAGTCTTCATCCTGGTAAAAATGGAATGTGCAAAGGTAAGACATGATACTTTTCAGTAATAATTTCTCTCATTTCCAAAATTTTATTTCTTTAACTTTTTTGTGTACTTCTTTAAGTGAATAATATCTCATCTGATACTTCAATGGCAAGTGCAAGTTACACTTTGGAGTAGTTTTTCTTACTTGTAATTGGAAAGGACAGAGTGCAGTATTGGTTTCCAAAATGTGTTCTTATGATATACAGAACTACTAGTTAGGAGTTAAGAGTTCTGTTCTAGTATTCCAGCCAAATATTTTTTCCTTTTCTTTCTCAACTGAAGACCTTTGTTATTTTTTCTAATTTTTGAGAAGTATGCATTTCCTCCTAGTTGATGATTCATAACCTTGAGACATAAAGATGATAGTTGTTATTATGATGTGATACCGAGTTGATTATGACCCATAGTAACGCTATGAACAATGGCTCTGAATCCTTCCTTTTGCTAAGTCAGCCTCATCATTTCTGACACACCTGACTCCATTACCACAGCCACTATGTCAATCCATCTCATCCAGGATCTTCCTCTATTGTGCTGACCTTCTACCTTTCCAAATATGATGTCTTTTTTCCAAGAACTGATTCCTCCTGGCAACATTTCCAAAATAGGTGAAATGGAATTTCAAAATCCTTGCCTCGAAGGTGCAACCTGGTTTCACCCTCTCTAGGAAAAATCTCTTTGTTCTTTTAGCAGTCCATGGTATATTTAGTACTCTTCTACAGCATCACAACTCAAAGACATCAGTTTTCCTCCTGTCATCCTTAATGCAGATCATCTTTTTATTTCCTAAGTGCTTGTGCCAAGAATGTTTATTGTGAATCCGAGCAAGATGAAATTGTTAACAACCTCAGTCTTTTCTCCATCTATCATGATGCTACCAATTGTTAAGGAATTGAACACATATAGACAGAAGAGTTAAACAAGTTGAACAGAAGAATTCAAAGGACAGACAGCTTGGGAAGACAAAGTAAAGTATTATAATGTAATGTGCAAAGAGGAATTAGAAAATCAAAAGAGAAGATCTCGGTCATTATTTCTCAAGCTGAAGGAATTGAGGAGCAAATTCAAGCCTAGAGTTGCAATACTTAAAGAGCCACCATGGTCCCATGGTAGATAGAGAAGAGATTGAGATTGTTAACAATTTCAGCTTGCTTGGTTCCACCATCAACAGTGTTCACATCAGCAGACAGGAAATCAAAAGACAATTTGATTTAGGAAAATCTACTGTCAGGGACCTCTCCAGAGTGCTGAAGAGCAACAGTGTCCATCTAGAGATGAAGGTGCCATGGTCTTTGTAATTACTTGCTATATATCAGAGAGCTGGACAATGAATACAGATGACAGAAAAAGAATTGAGGTCTTTGAGTTGTTGTGCTAAAGAAGAGTATATTGAATATACCTTGGACTACCAAGAGAACAAACCAAAGCTATCCTGGAAAGGGTGAAACCAGCTCCTCCTTAGAAGCAAGATTTTGAAACTCTATCTCACATACTTTGGTCATGTTGCCTGGCAGAACCAGTCCTTGGAGAAGGACATCATGCTTGGAAGGGTGGAGAGAGAGAGCACAAGAGAGGAAGACCCAGGATGAGATGGATTGACACAGTAACTGGGGTAATTGGGGTAGGTGTGTCGGAGACAGTGAGATTGGCTTAGGATAGGGCAGAGTTTGGAATGATTGTGTATAGGGTTGCTATGAGCCACAGTTGACTTGACAGCACATAACAACTTAGGCAGACTATTGAATGATCCAGGAAGCATAAAAAAAAAAATCAAAGGTATAAATAGAGTCAATCTACCAGAAAAAATTGGGTAACACAGAACAATTTTGTGACATAGCATCAGATCAAAAAGCAATGGTAATAAGAGAGGAAGTTCACGCTGCTCTGAAGGAATTGGCAAATAATAGGGCCCCAGGAATTGATGAAATACCAATTGACATATTTCAAAAACATGCATCGCTGGACGTGCTCACCAATTGTACTCAGAAATCTGAAGGATAGCTATCTGGACAACTGACTGGAAGAGATCCATATTAAAGGTGCTCCAAAAGAGTGTGGAAATTATCAAAAAATATTGCTAATGTCCAGTGCAAGCAAATTCTTGGTGAGGATTATCCAAAAATTACTAGAGTCTGAACGAGCTCCGTGGAGGCAGAAGGGTCCTAAGCATTGTGCAGGGAGCACGTTCACTCTGCCAGTGCCCCCTGCTCTCTGGTGGCCACAGCAGGGCACACCCTTGGGGCATGCTTAGGCTCGGGCACAGTGACAGTCTGTCTGCTGCCACGGGGAGCTACACTGCTACACACGGACCCCGGGGCAGGACACACAGCCACCTGGCAGCCACGGACAGGACACAAGGGAGCAGCTATGTTACCATTTCTTCAGATTGGTTTCTCCAACTTTGTTGATCCTACCAGCCTTGCCAGAGAGATGCTGTTAACCCTTGTTGCACTGTGCTCATCAGAGTATGTTGAATCAGAGAATGGGCAGATGAATGTTCAGAAAAAGCTGACCATGTACCCTCTGTGGGACAGCACTTTTGATGCCCATGTCAACAAAGGGAGAGTAATGCAAATCATTGTGAAGGGCAAAAGTGGGGACCTCATATTTGAAACTACTGTCGAGCTCTACTCCTTGGCTGAGAGATGCAGGAAGAATAATGGGAAGACAAATATGGTTAGAACTGAAACCTCAAGGCCGAATGCCAATGAACGCAAGATACTTTCTGAAAATGAGTGACAGGAAGGACCTGAATGAGTTAGAGGCTGAGGGCTTCTTTGCTTTGCATCACCAGTGAAGAGCCATCAAGCAGGCCAAAGTCCACCATGTCAAGTGACACGAGTTCACCGCCACCTTTCCCCCACAGCCCATGTTTTGTTCCGTTTGCCATGAGTTTGTCTGGGGTCTGAATAAACAGGGCTACCAGTGCAGACAATGTAATGCAGCAGTTCACAAGACGTGTATTGATAAAGTGAAGTGCACAGAATCTGCTATCAATAGTCAAGAAATCATGTTCCACAAGGAAAGGTTCAAAATCGACATGCCCCATTGATTTCAAGTCTACAACTACAAGAGCCAAACCTTTGAGCACTGTGGGACTCTCTTGTGGGGATTGGCAAGGCAAGGACTGAAGTGTGGTGTATGCGACATGAACGTGCACCACAAATACTAGACAAAAGTGCAAGAAAAGCTTTAAAGATATGTGGATGATGATGTGGAGTATACCATGGTAGAGAAGAGACGCCTCTTGGTGGCCTGGGAGCACCCCTTTTTAATGCACATGCTATGTACATTCCAGACCAAGGAATACCTCTTTTTTTGTGCTGGAGTACCTCAGTGGAGGAGACCTGATGTACCACATTCAGATCTGCCACAAGTTTTGATCTTTGCAGAGTAGTGTTTTATGCTGCTTAAATTATTCTTGGCCTACAGTTCCTTCGCTCCAAAGGAATTGTCTATAGGGATCTGAAGCTAGATAATATCCTATTAGACAAAGATGGGCATATCAAAATAGCAGACTTTGGAATGTGCAAGGAGAACATGTTAGGAGATGCACAGACGAACACTTTTTGTGGAATGGCTGACTGTGTTGCCCCAGAGATCTTGTTGGGTCAGAAATAAGACCATTCTGTTGACTTTGGGGATCTCCTATATGAAATGCTCGTTAGTCAGTCTCCTTTCCATGGACAAGATGAACAAGAGTTCTTTGACTCCATCTGCATAGACAATCCCTTTTACCCACGATGGCTTGAGAAGGAAGCCAAAGACCTTTTAGTGAAGCTGTTTGTGAGAGAACCTGAAATAAGGCTGGGAGTGAGGGGAGACATCCGTCAGCACCCTTTGTTTCAGGAGATCAATTGGGAACAACTTGAAAGAAAGGAAATTGAACCACCTTTCAAGTCTAAAGTGAAATTACCATATGACTGCAGCAACTTCAACAAAGAGTTCCTCAATGAGAAACCCCAGCTGTGCTGCACTAACAAAGCACTCATCAACAGTATGGACCAAAACATGTTCAGAAATTTTTCCTTCCTTAACCCAGCGATGGAGAGATTAATATCCTGAAACCTGTCTCCAGAGACACAAAGGAACTTGGCTTTTCTATCTTAACTGGTTCAAGCAAGTGACACTTCTTGGCTTCCTTTTTCACCTTGTAAAAAAAGAAACACATCAATAAAGACTGAGACCTTTTAGTTCCTCATGTGACCTTTCTCTGTAGAAGAAACCAACTCCGCTAATGAAGAGGCCCTCCCGTGTATTTCCTGACATCTTTCACAGATGTTTTGAAATGAGGTCATTGGCCATGGTGGTCACATTTGGCCTGATTTCAGACCATACCTGTGATATTTACTTGAAAGGTGGTTATTCAGATTGTGAAAGATTTGAACACTTAAATCAGTCAGTGTGCTGAGCATTCAGAGGCTTAGTGAAGCAAGATTCAAACTGAGTGGAAACATCTCAAGACTCAACAGCACATTCTCCATGTAGGAATGGATTTCATTGAGCCACAGTCAAGTAACCACTAACCCATTCTGTGTGTATCTGGGCATTGTGTAAATAGTTCTGGGAGAATGGGAAGGCATGAATAGTGACAAAGGTGTTCATGGGAATTCTTCACAATAAACATAACTTATACTGTGAGATTTACAGATCCATTCATTTTAATTAGCCATGATCATCACCAGAAAGAGAAAAATGTTAAGTGGGAAGAGCTCTTGTCACCTATGTGGGAGGTTTAATAGAACAAACACCCACCCTGGTTATCTTGTCAACATGGAAATTAAATGTAGAGTCCACCAATGATAGCATTGTTTGACACCTCAAATTATAACAAGAAATGAAGTACTTAAACTAAACCCAGTCTCTTATGACACTGTCAAGATAATTCCATGACTCAATGAGTCTTTTAAGGGCCACTCATTTGCAGTAGTCAGTCTCCTCTGATTATCATTCTGGCTATGTGTTTTTAAAGTATTTGTACTGTGTCTATATTTTCATAAAATGTTATGACTCAATGACAAAATGATGATGGAATAATTAAAAAAAAAACCCAAAACCCAACAAAGAAAAAAAAAAGTGACTAGACTAGTACATCGATAGAGAACTGCCAGAAATAAAAGGTAGGTTTTGAAGAGGTTGCAGCACTAGGGATATTACTGGTGATGTCAGATGGATCTTTGCTGAGAGAGTACCAAAAAGATGTTGTTTTGTCTTTTATTTACTGTGCAAAGTCATTTGACTGTGTGGATCACAATAAATTGTGGCTAACATTGAGAAGAATGGAAATCCCAGAACATTTGATTGTATTCTTGCAAAACTTATATCTGGACTAGGAAGCTGTAGTCTGAACAATTAAGGGAACATGGCATGTTTTAAAATAAAGAAGGGTGTGATTCAGGGATGTGTCTTTTCTCCATACCTATTTGATCTGTATGCTGAGCAAATAATTCATGGGGCTGGATATTTTTAAAAGGAATGTAGCATCAAGATTGAAGGAAGACTTATCAACTCCTGCATTATGCAGATGGCACAACCTTGCTCACCGAATCTGAAGAGGACTTGAAGCATTTGCTGTGGAAGGTCAAGGATTACTTCCTTTAATATGGATAGTAATGGAAAATCAACAATTTGCGTTATGCAGATGATACAACCCTGCATAAAAGATGACATAATTAAGAAATTATGCTATACAAAATTCTTAAGTGACATTTTTCATTGTTAATAGAATCCTTGTCTCATTGTCTAAATGGAATACTAAAACTGTTATAAGTAATTTACAGCAGTATTTCATTCTAGGCATACCTTCTCCTGAAATTCAACTTGGGTTTAAACTCAGAGAGCATGCACAAAAGGAAATGAATGAAAATAAGATGTTGCCTCTTCTTTGTGAGGATACATTCTTACAGGTATGTAGAATATTGATTGAATGCATAATAATTTAGGATTAGAAATACTATTCCTAAGAGTGGCTGATTATTGATAATGCTTTTTGTCTTATTTTTGCCTGCGTCTTTGCTTATTCAGTTTTTTCTCCTTTCTTAACCAGTCATCTATTTCATTGCCACTTATTTTAGGAGAGAGATTTAAAATATTTTCTTTATCTTTACTTATGCCTTTTTTGTTTTTTTCCCTTTCCGGTAGAAGTATGTAGATAAGGAGAACAGGAAGATTAAAATCTGATTTAATAGTTACGATTTTCCTTTAATTGTATATCGGAGATCATAATAAATATATGATGTACTAGTCAGTTTATATAATTTGAGTTTTGGTTCATTATAAAAGTTCTCGTTCCCTGTGTGTTTGTATATAGAGGTGCACACATATCCTAAGAATTTTTATTTATTTGCTATTTTTAATGGAAACACCCTGGGAAAAGAGAAAAGCATAATTCACTTAGAACTTTTAAAAATTTTGTTTTCTTTTATGCTGGTTTACTTACAAAGTTCGTAAAGTTCATGTATATTTGCATGACTTAAATTAAGCAGAGATTTAAAAAAAAAATTTAAGGAATGGGATGCGTGAAGGGAAGTAGGTTTTAATAGTAACTGACAGCTTTTCCTAAGTATACCTGTGAAAGTGCATTTAACATTTTACCCAGGAAAACATAAAAGAAGAATTTAGCATACAGTGTTTCCTTTTTTGAAATTGAGGTATCTGTATTTTCTTCCTAGTATTCTTTCTAATAATTTGTTTAAAACAAATTTTATAGCATCTCAAAACAACTATGAGATATCATCTCACCCCAGAAAGAATAGCAAAATTTAACATAACAATGAACATCAAATGCTGGCGAGGTTGTGGACAAACTGGAACACTTACTCACTGTTGGTGGGAGTATAAAATGGTGCAACCACTATGGAAGGCTGTAAAGCACTCTCTCAAAAAGTTGCAAATAGAAATACTATTTGACCCAGAAATTCCACTACTGGGAATATACCCCAAAGAGACCATAACTGCCAACCAAGCAGAGACATACACACCCATGTTTATTGTGGCATTGCTCGCAATAGCAAAGAGTTGGAAACAACCCAAGTGCCCATCAACAAATGAATGGATAGAGAAGCTGTGGTATAGTCACACAATGGAATACTATGCAGCATACTATAGAATATATAGAATACTATGAAAAATAAGGAACTCATGAAATACTATGAAAAATGGATGACCCTGGAGGACACTATGCTGAGTGAAATATCTTAGTCACAAAAGGACAAATATTTCATAGGGCCACTGTTGTAAAATGGAACTGACATCGGGGTTGAGGGAAGACAGAAAAGGAGGGGAGGAATGATATATATTGCATTGAAACAGATGCGGGAGAGAACTGTTTAAAAGGGAGATATGAATGGGTATTCTTGTCAATACAGAATTCTAGAGTCAAGGCTACATAGTGGACTGGACTTGGGGGGGAGGGATGGCGTAACAATGAAAGAGGTTTTCCTTTACTTTTTAAAAATTTTGTTCTATCTATCAATCTATCTATCTATCTATCTATCTATCTATCTATCTATCTATTTTTGTTTAAATTTATTATTAATTTCAATGAAAATTTACAGAGACTTTGGATTTCCATTTATCATTGTTGTACTTTTCTCCCCTCCCAACCCTCTCTCCTAGTACACTACCCTCTTAGAAAAGTGAAAGAAAAATTCTTTCATTATCTTACAAACCCTCCCCCAGGTCCACTCCACTGTGCAGCCTTCTCTCTGAACTCCTGTCATGATAAAAATACCTAATCGCAGATCTCTTTTAAACAGTTTTCTCCCTTATCTGTTTCAATGCAATATACATTATTGAACCCATCTTTCTCAGTTTCCCCCCAACCCCGATGTCATTCCTGTTTTACAACAATGGCACCGTGCAGTATTTGTCCTTTTGTAATGGAGATACTTCACTTAGCATAATGTCCTCTGGAGTCACCCATTTTGAATAATACTTCATGAGTTCCTTGTTTTTCAATGCAGTGTAGTATTCCATTGTGTGGATATACCATAGCTTCTCTATCCATTCGTTTGTTGATGGCACTTAGGTTGTTTCCAACTCCTTGCTATTGTGAACAAAGCCATAGTAAACATGCATGTGCATTTTTCTTTACTTTTCAAGGAGTAGAGTGAATGGGGGGAGAGAGTGGGCAGGGAGAAAAGTGCAACAATGTATGACTGGAAACCCTAAGTTTCTGTAAACTTTCATTTGTTGTTGTTATGTGCCATCATTTGAGTTGCTTGCGACTCATAGTGACCCTATGTACAACAGCCCTAAACCCTGCTCTATCCTGTGCCAATCGCATTGCCTCTGACACACCCATCCCGATTACCCCAGTCACTGAATCAATCCACCTCATAGAGGATCTTCCCCTCCTGCGCTGTCCTTCCACCCTACCAAGCATGATGTCCCTCTCCAAGCACCTGTCTCTCCTTACAGTATGTCCAAACTATGTCAGACGAAGCCCCAGAATCCTTGCCTCCAAGGAGTAGCCTGGTTTAACCCTCTGTAGGATGAATCTGTTTGTTTTCTTGGCAATCCAGGGTACATTCAATACTCTTCTCCAGCACCACAGCTCAGAGGCATCAAGTCTCCTTCTGTCCTCCCTAGTCATTGTCCAACTCTCTGATGCGTAACAAGTGATTGCAAAGACCATAGCCTGTATCAGATGCACCTTAGTCTCCAGAGTGATACCATTGCTCTTCAGTACTCTGGAGAGGTCCCTAACAGCAGACTTTCCCATCGTGATACATTTTCTGATTTCCTGGCTACTGGTGCCAAGACTGTTGGGAAAAAAAAGTAAAAAAAAACCCACAAATTTTGTAGTATCCAAGTTTAAAAATAACATTTTCCTTTGTGTAACTGTGAAATGAGATGTCATTTTTTCATTTTTTTCTGAAGCATTTGCTAAATGATTAACTACTTCAGAACAGTAGTTTTAAAGTTTATTATCATAATCATTTGAGTAGCTTTTTGTGAGTAGAACCTGGAAATCTCCTTAGTAATTTTTGATGATCAACTAGCTTGTAACATTTGCTATAGAGAGCTTGAAAAGTTAATGAATGTATCTTTTAAAATTTCAGCATTAGATAGCAGATTAACCTCTGCTGGTTATGTTGTTGTTGTTAAGTGCCATCGAGTCGCAGGCGACTCATAGGAACCCTATGAAGGAGAGTCCTCAACACTTGTGTGTCCCTCATCCTCTCTCCAGGTTCATAGGGTTTCTGGAGGCAAGCCGTTATGGAAGTGGATGCCGCTCCTGCTTCCAAAATGCTGGTTATAGGTTGGTTTAAAATTAAGTGACTTAGAAACTCATTACTAGAGAGTTAGTTTCAAGCCCTCCTAGCCCTATAGGACAGTTCTACACTGTCCCATAGGGTTTCTGAGCCTCAGTCTTCATGAAAGATGACTTCTACATTTTTCTCCTACTGAGTGTCTGATGGGTTTAAACTTCGGAGCTTTCAATCAGCAATGTACTTTAACAACTCTGTCACCAGGGCTTCACAAAATTAGGGTAAAATAGATAAAATAAATAATTGATGTTTGCCTCTTTATTCACTTTCATGAGAAAAAAATTCCTTGAGAGTAAAATGGATGTATTGTTAGGTTATTCTTACTTCTCACTTTTTTTCTACAGTAAATGTAGATCTTGTAACCCAAATCTTCATTTATAATAGTTTTCAGTTAGTAATATTTCTTAAACTGACAAATGCTGCTATATTCACTTAGATTTTGCATTTGTATGAAAATGGACCTTTAGAATTGTAACTTATCCCATAACACAAATCATGGAGTCTACTAAAGCACAAGCAGAGTTTTGGTGAGAAATGGAAAACAGTGTGTTAATTGGGAAAAGACAGAGTTGAGGATGCTATCAACAAGGTGTTCCACTGTCTCTATCAAGTTAGAAGTTCTTAGTCTCTTATAGAAGCAAGTAGGGTATTAATTAGGGTATTAATGATTTTAGAAACAGTCAGCTTTAGCTTACAGTCCTTTGAAATGTAAATGCTACAGTCTGTTAGAGGAGAGAGAGTTAGCCAGTTTGATTATCCTTGATAGTCAGCTATTCAAGATGTAGTCAGTTCTGGTTTTCTTAGATGGTTTACATCCTGACTGGTTTGTGTAGTTATGAAACAATTCTTCCTGAGACCAGTCATCTTCCATTTGACAAACTCTTAAGTTATCTTACACCTTGACCTTTTGTTCTGGAAAAACACGTTGGTCTCATCATCCTGTTTGTGAGGGTCGTTAAAATTTCCTCATTCTTTTCTGATAGCTACTTATCTGTTGGTTTAAGCAAAGTACAGTGGAATTTAGAGTAGCTTTGAAGAGAACCCATGGTAAAAGCAGACTGGGATCTACTTTTGACAAGTACGTGGATGACTCTTTCCTATTCAGGAACTTCAGTTATTAATTGTAGATGCTCCTACTTATTTTCACCTTGTGATCATAAATCTCTATATGAAGTTCTTTCATCAGGATTAGTTATTTGTCTTGCTAAGTGTAGAATGAGATGGATTGATGCAGTGACTGGGGTAATGAGGGTAGGTGTGTCAGAAACAGTAAAGTTGGCACAGGATAGAGCAGTTTTCAGGGCTGTTGTGCTTCGGGTTTCTATGAGTCGCAGGTGACTCGATAGCACATAACAAGAAGTGTAGAATCTCATTTTCAGGGTGAATAGGTCTGATGTCACCTAAAAAGGAGCATCACATCTTCTGGAAGGGCCTTTCAGTGATCTTTTGGATGGCTGTTTGCTCTTTACAAATTCCTGACACTATTCTGACAGAGTAGCTAGGCAACATCTGTGATTATTTTAGGAGAATGTGAGTTGTTGTTAGGTACCATTAAGTTAGCTCTGACTGATAGTGACTGTATGCACAACAGAACAAAACTCTGCTCAAACCTGCCTGTGGATTGCAAAAGT